CACTCTCACACACACACACACACACACACACACACACACACACACACACACACACACACACACACAGTGATGTGATGCTCGGATGAGACGCAGCAGGAGAGTCAAACCACAGAATGACTGACACTGGAATCACACATCATTCAATCATGTGTATGTGTGTGTGTGTTTCACCTTTAGAGATGTGTTTGATGAAGGAGTTTGTTCCTCTAGAGACGCTGCTGATAAACGCTCCCGGCCCGCGAGTCAAACCCTCGTATGGCAAGCGGAAGAATTCCGACACGCCGTTCCCGATACTCCGCACCAGACTGGCCGGACTGCCCAGAATCTCCAGAGAGCCCACAACCCAACCTAAAACATCATCAGGTTATGCGTATTTGGCGTGCTGTCCGAGGGGAGGCTCCGAGCTCTGAATTTTGGCCCGAACCCAGAGTATCCCCCCCTACAGGTTAGGACAGGAATAGTTGTAAGTGCGGAGAAGGGGTGGCGGAGGGATGCTGGAAAACTGTCGAGGAACAGAGGTGAGTCTGCTGAGTATACTGTATATACACACCTCTTATCTTGTTAATTGGGTTGATTACTGATTGTGCTCCTCTTGTGTTAATTAGGTTAATTATCTGAACATGCTCCTCCCAAACTTTGTTAATAAAACCTAATTTGTCTGTATAATGAGTGTGTTGTAGGTCTGCGTTTTATTGGTTGTTTTCTCCCCTCTGCTCACCCTCTTCACTCCCACTTTTCCACAGTTTACATGCCCATTTCTTGAGTCTTTTTCAAATCTGAGGTGTGAACGACCAGTGCTAAAACAGGGGTTTCATGACACTTTAAATGCCGTACGGCATTAAACCTCGTATTCAGCGCCCATCTCTGGAATGCATGCATGAAGAGGAAACCCAGCCAGATGACCGCTATCATCGAGGCCCTGAGCCCCAGCAGTCTCAACAACAAATGAAACGTGACCCAGAATCTGAGCCAGACAGCTGCGAAAATCCTCTGCCCTTCGTCCTGACAGCATAGCTGTGTTCTGTACGGAATCTATCTCTAAACCGAGATATGAAATCTGCTGATTTGGAACCAGGGAGCTCTTCTTTAAGATTTATTAAAAATCCGTAATGGTGTAATGGTGCCAATGCCGCCTCCACGCATTTCGTAAAAATGCGCAACGCTAGGGATAGCCCGAATGGCAGGACTTGAAACTCATATGCAGTCCCCTCGAAGGAGAACCTCAGAAACTTTCTATGCCCCGGGTGGATTGTGATATGGAAATATGCATCGGTCGAGTCCAGCGATGTAAACCAATCCCGGGAACTCAGGGAGCACAGATGATGACGCACAATAAGCATTTTGAGCTTGAAACGTCTGAGGTGCTTGTTTAACTGCCGCAGATCCAGGATAGGCCGTAAGCCCCCGCTTTTCTTTGGAACCACTTGAATTGCCCCTTTGCTGAGGAGAACACAGATTTACTCTCTCAGCACTGAGGAATCCCTTTCCGAAACGGAGTTTGTAATTAATCCGCCGAAACAGGGGGGCGTGAAAGAAACTGCAGCCGATAGCCCCACTGAATTGAGCGCCACCATTCGAGGCAGACAGCGAGGATCCCCGTCATTACCCGGGGAACCCCCGCTTTTACCTGCACACAATGTTGGATATGACATATCACTGCATCCTTTTCCTCTGTCGGCACATGGCCCGATTGCGAGGTTAGTGTTTCTAAAACATTTCGGCAGGAAAGACACCCTAAGCCCTGGGTGAGCAGCCGACTGCAC